CTTGACACAGTAACTTTTAATTCACAGCTGCTTTTAAACTACTCTTATAATTATTTTAAAAACTTTGATATATATGTGTGAATGTTTTCATTATGGAAAAGAAACAATCACCTATAACTGCTGTCAATTGTTATATACTTATAGCACACTTTATTAGAAAAATATTTGTTGTCATTTTATCAAATATTATTTTCTTTCAATGTCTTACCTCCTCCCATTTGACTGTGAGAAGCGGCTCTGAGAGATTATACTGCCTTTCATATCTCAGGATAATTTTTATTAAAGTTCTTGTAATGTACTTGAATTAGATATTCTGTTTTTTAATTTCAGTGTTGAATTTGACATTATGTGAAAACATTCTTTCCTTTTACTCTAGCTTTTCTGTGGTGTTTGTCATTCAATAGGGAGACAAGCCTGTTGTAATAGGTTGGTGAAACCAGAGTTTAATAACCTATCACTTTGAGATGTGTGGGAATACTAAGGTTCATTCTCAATGTTTCCTTGAGCCAGTGGCTTTATTTCTTTAAAAGGCTGCTGCTGTTCGTAGTGAGCTGTGTTTGTTTTTTCTGGAATTCCTGGAAATTGTATGGGTTAGAGTAGAAAAAGTGCATAGAATGGGAGTTGCACTTTTTTTAATACTAGGGACCATAGCTTTCTGGAAAAAATGCCATGTGGAAAACTTCTTTACACCCTTTCCACACTGCATTCCTTCTCTCTTTAATGTAACTAATATATCCCTGTCTGCATATAAACAGATAATGGGAAAGTTTTTATTTTCAGTATTTGTTTAATTTTCCTGTAATGGCTTTCTGACAGGTGGAAATGACTGAATTCTGCTTCACCTGTCTTTAATTCATCAACTTATTTTTAGGCAGTTGGCCGTACTGTGAAGGTCTTTAGGCCTTTGTGGCGAGGAAGTGAGGTTTGTTTGTTTGGTTTTTTTTTAAAGCTCTTGATAAAATATTTTATTATGGTTGTCTTTCTGAAAATATTTCCCCCTTTCACCATTTGAATCTTTTGAACCATTTCAGTCACAATTGACTTCTCTGCTTTGAGTTTGAAGTTTTCTGAAAATTATTGCCTAGATAGAGGAATGGTCTAACTTAGTATGTCTAGTTGAGGGAAGGGATGCACTGAGTTTTCAGTCATCTACTTTGTGTAGCTTACAAAAACCTAGCAAGCTGCTTTCCCTTATTAAATCAGTAGTCGAGCTATTGAGATAGGAACCTTTGCAATGGATTATGAAGATGTAAATAGAAATGGTCTTAAAAGACTGGAATGCAGGAAGTATAAGACCATGACTTGGAATTACTGTGGTAGGGTGCGATGTATGGAAGGCTCAGGACACAAATCAACAGGAAGCTGGCTTCAGTATTTATACTCTTAGAACAACTTTTCTAATATTAAAGCTTGGCTGAAGAGATGCAATTGAATCCTTTCCTTGTTTTTTGCACCCCCCCCCCCCCCCCCCCCCACCCCCCCCCCATCAAAAAAAAACAAAATAGG